TGTAGATAGCACAAGTTGATTCTCGTCCCGCTGTCGTAGCCATAGCCATCACGGAGGCGCTAGTTCCTACCGCCACCTAAAAAGACTCGTAAAACAATAACAACAGCAGCGGCTATGATGGTCGTCGCGTTGGATCGTTGGGCGTCAGGACCGCGTAGCGGCTGCTGGTCGCCACGCCACTCCCGCGCTCGGTTTTTTTTCCTGATTTGTTTCAGCGTCCTGTTTTACTTCCGGTTTTAGTAACGGGGGGGGGGGGGGGGGGCAGTAATTAACAAGTAGCAGTTGTGGTAATAGTTATTTGCGATGTCGTTACCAATAGCCGTATCAGTTAAGTATCCAGTGAACACTGAGCAGCCGGCCCAGCAGTAGAATAATAGGATAATAAAAAAAGCGCTATTGAAGGAATTCAGCTCACCTGACTCGCGGAACGACTTCCACAGTAATAACAATTTTTTACTTCATACGTAACCTGCGTATATGTATGTAGGTGTTTATAATAGTATTACACACGAACGTGGTGCGATTACGTTGCGTTGGGCAGATTAGCATAGATACACGTGCACACATGGCGAAAGATAATACACCGACGTGGATCCCAGGGCGCTAGAGGCCTTGCAGGTAACAGCGGCTTTTATGGGGGCAACCGCCGCACTGTTTAGCTCCTGTTGCGGTCAGCAGCACGAGCTATTATCGATAAAAAAAAACAGGTCCACATTTACACTTTGTGGTCAGTTTTGATTTATCGAGGCGCGCTCATTTCGGCTCAGCTGAAATTTCAAAGATGTCGCATGGGATCATCCTGTTCGGCTCACGAACTAAAAAGTCAAAACGTCTTTGTTTGGCGAGGGGAGCGTAATTCTGTGTAGTACTGCTAAACAGACAAGCACATGTTTTTCTACCTGTGAACACTTCCAGTCAATTACAAAGCGGAAACAATTTGACAGCTGCTTATTTTAGCTCAGCTGGCGGCGGAATTAAGTTTAGCGCAAAGAGAAACAAGGTTCGAGAAGAAATGACAGGGTTTATTTTGCTGGCAATTATAGCAATAGAAGTAACAGTTATTGTTATTTCACATCTCAATCTCTATGCGCTTCTTTCCGTTCAGATGAAGTAAGCATGGTCGTGTGGATAGTCCAGGAAGATAAAATAGGTTGGTCTTCACCCTCATCACCCTTATCATCATCATCATCATCGTCGTCGTCGTCGTCGTCGTCACAACCATCAAAATGAGGATATTTTCGGTTGCAATAGTGATATTGCTTATTATGATTAACGGTTCTAAAATTAACAATGGCTCTAAGTGACAAAATGTCTTTAGCTCTTTCTTCACTTTTAACATAATCATTGGCCCCCGCGAAAGGCTTTGTCGTCGGCTGCCCGATCTGCAATTAAATGCCTCTTCCGACCCAACTTTTCTTTGTCATGTCCCCAGCCTGATCGCGAATATGCGAACTGTCGTCCCTCCTGTATTTCACAGTCGTCCATTACAACTTCTCTCCGGAAAAGCAACAAAACGGCTATTGTTTGAGAGAATTTCTTTAAGCGCTCCTTTAAGAAGGATGGCGCTTCTACGTAGCTTACTCATTTTGCCGCAATACGTACGTAGTCAGCCTTTTTTCGAATGCAGTAGCTAAATATTGTAACAAAGCAAAGCCAAACAGGTACGGAGACATTCAACAGTTCGATGCTGTTTAGTCGCCTGACGAGGGTAACCATCATTAAACTGGTAGCGCCATTCCAGAATGCCAGCGCGCCATATGTAAAAAGCTCGAATTGTCAAGTATTGATTTTTCCCTTTAAGAGTTTACGACAATCCGTTTTCACTGAAAGATACCCAAGAGCACGTCATCAACCGTAGCTAAAATCGCGAGACAGAGTTCGAGCACCGTTAGTAAGCAGGTCTCGACAAGCAAGAAGACAAGGAGACCGCGTCGAGAACTCCAAGCCCCAAACAGCTTGCTTCCAAAGCAGCAAAGTATAAAAGCAAAAAAAAAACATCTACAAAACTCAAGTTGGGCGCGATTGAAGAAGATAACGCTGCCGGGTGTATCTGTTTCACTTTTGGTCCTAAAGTAGTCCTACAAAGAACCATATGAGGACTAGCCGGCGTAGCTAAAAAAGCAAGTTGAAACAGGCTCGGTCTGTGAAATTGATTTCACTATATTCTTCAACAGTGAAAATATCCGAAGGTAAAGGCACACACTTAGCAAAGCCGTTCGGAACTTGAAGGATATTGCTGTGCCCTGTAGCCATACTCGCCTACAAAGCATATTAGCTCATAGCTTCATAGTTCCGTGAAGACACATCGTAGTACAAAACACTTGTATTTGGCAAAAATAAGTTCATGGTAAGCATTTACAAATAACCGCGTGGCGTTAGAAATTTGGTCCAGGTACTGCATAATGGTAAAGGAAATTGTTGTCCATTGTTTACAGGATCAAATAGTATAACGAGTCGAGCCACTTGAATAATGAAAAAATTTAGTTGTAGATGTAGCTTTACTTGGAACGATCGAAAGCATTCCTGCTGTGAGCTTTCAGTAATTTTATGGTGGACCAAATGTACTTTTTGTCAGAGCTGAATTGCTAGGACATCGTTAGAAACCGTGTCGCCTATTGTGGGCTTGGCTCACAACGACTTTGATATTCCCGCAAGGGAAATTCGTGATAAAGGTCGCAGCAGTTCATGGAGCTATCAACTGCTCGATGTGAGCTCTCTTGAGCGTGACGTACAGAACAAAATTTTAATGAAACAGCGCGACGGCCAGCTCATCCGCAGTGGCCGGCGGCCGATTGCAAGTTGCTAGATCGAATGCTGTTGCGGTCGTTGTTGCCGATCTATTAATAGAGAAAAGAAAAAAAAACATCCTTTATATCTCTCAGCATTTCAGAAGGCAGAATAATTTATTACTTTTGATTTGTCGTGTCTTCTGCAATTTCACAGTGCTATATTTCGTACCACAGAGTGAGTCTCCTTACGACCACAATACTACTTACTGCTAGGCTCGCAAAGTAAGATGATAAGTGGTAAGATAATCAGCATTGCCACCAGGGTGACGACATTATTACGCGGTCGACCTATGGCACAGGTTTTGACTAACATGTGGGCTCCTTTCAAAACTGGCCCTAGCGCTGGGTGATGTTGCTTTGCATTTTTCCCCCAACAGGATGACTCGGATAGGTTATTTTATTTCGATCGTTGCTGTCTGCATGGCTGATGAAAACTTGGAAAGATATACCGAACCCTATCCGACTAACAGCTACAGACACTTCAGCGCATCAAGGTAGGAATATCGAATGGAAAATCAGCCGAAGCCATCGATTTCTATCAATCAGAAACTCAGTTTACTTCTTTGTTCTCTTCCACAGTACATTTTAAGAAAGCCGTAGGAGTTACAGAGATGGCGGTTATGCTAAACAGAAGAAAAAGCGACAGCTGTAAATATTTCAGCGGCAACGCAACGGTCGGTTGATCATTTCTTGGCTGCCTGTTACTTAAGAACGGAGCCTAGATAGGCCGAGTTGATATGGGCCTTTGCACCTGCCAGCGGTCGATCGCATGTAAAAAGGCCAGCGTGAGCGTGACATGACGCGCGTTCAGGCGGCTTGAACTAGGACTTAGATGCTTAGTTCAAGGCATTAGGGTGGAAGCTGTACGACTTGTGAAAAGAAAGGGTTTGTTCAAAAGATAAATTGGAAATCTGCTGATATGCTGTGCCTGTGTGTCTCTGCGGATACGTAATAATTAATCATACCTGAAGTGGTAGCACCCACCCTTAATAACAACAGGTTGACCGGGACATCGACAACGGTAAAGGCTGAAGGGGAAGTTGAATATGCTGTCGCCAAGAAAGAAACGCGAACGGAAACTTCGGCAAAAGCCTTTTCGTGTCAGGTTCTTACGCAATACAACAAATCATCGTATAAACGAGTATTTAAACAACAGTGTTTACTGGAGTTAGATGGCTTAAAATTTCTGAATGTTTGGAAGCACAGCAGGTCAAACACAGCATAATCGTTTGCGATGTTAGCCTTTCAGGTGTTGAGCAGGTGGACGATACAAGATTAACAAAATGTGCCGTCATATTATATTGTTAGATACTATGAAGTACTTGAAAAAGCTTTTAATAAAAGTTTTTTTAATCTAACCCTTACAATCGAATATCCAGTGGCTGTCTAGCTCTATATACACAATATTCACCTAAAGCGTACCGCGATCAGTCAACGTACGGGTCAGAACGACTGGTCTATACTTCCATTAGCCAGTGGATCGGAAAGCGTAACGTGTAGCGTAACGTGCAACAGTATCTTTATGAAAGAAGTCGAGTAACCAATCCTCAAAAGTTCGATTCGCGTAGAAGTCCAATCTGCATTTCAAGAAATACAATGATACCTACACACATCAGCAATATTTGTTTTCGAAATTTCGTGCGCTGCTTCGGAACTGTGTAACAAATAATGCTAACGCGATAAATCCCATGTTGACAAAAGCTAAAGGATATTCAGCTTAGTAGAAAAAGCGTGTACAAACAATGTTTTTACGTAGAATTCATGATATGTTGTCCGTACAACCAAGTGAACTATTCTGATGGAAACGACGCGTATAAGTTCTAATCATTTCAACGCGAAAGTTCCATAAATTTTCTTAACAGGCGAAGCGGTCTTTTTTTCAGGCATACGAAAAACTATAAGCTCGTAGTTGAGCTCGCCTGTGGTCTCTCCGTCTGTGCATACGTTGCCAGAGTAAGAACTATAACTATTTACTAAACATATTCACAGTCGTTCCAAGGTTCGATGTAAATTTTAGTCGTTAGCTTGTATAGCAACTCAATGAAATATAAAACTGGAGGTTCAAAAACAGGTACCATTATAGAAAATACATCATTACCGTCATCATCATCTAGGATAGCTGCGGATAATGCGGCCAAATAGCCCACTCACATGTACGCAAGTTTTTGAATTAAGGCGGACAACGCTGTGATTTTTCCTAACAACACTTACCTCATGCTGGTCGCCAGCTTGTTGACAGAAGGGACAACGCTGCACGTTAGAGGATGATATTTTTCCAGCGGGGATTCCCCCCCGTGATAACGGAGGAGGCAAAATCGGTGCTGTGGTTCCATTTGAAAATTTTTTTCCGACACTAGGGAACTTTTTGGCTGGTCGCGCGGGAGGTGTATCAAAACCCAGCGAAGCCAGGGGTGGGGCCGGTGGTGGCGAGGTTGATTCATGCGATCCACGAGATCCCAGTGGAGGCGAGGGAGTTGAACTTGACGAAGATAGCGATATCTGTTGATGTGAGTGGTGATTATTATGGGGGTGATGATACTCGTTACCAGGCATTATTGTTACGTGGCATCAAAGCTGTAGTATCCAATTCTGCAGATTTACTGGCGAATCACAGATTAATAGTCACGTTACAGGCATTTATGTATGTTTATGTCATCTTTCTACAACGGGAACGGCTTGCAACAGGCGTCTTTAGTTGTGAAACATGCTACGATTCCGGTACACAAACCCTTTAGTTCTTTCTTAGAAGATGGAGTGTCACGTTATAGCACTGTTCTCGGTAAATCTCGACACCGATAGAAAACGGTGATCTGCTATTCCTGGACAGTTAATATGCTACCAATTGTAATCGTATAGATATAAACCAAATAACAACACGTGAACCTCTTTTCGAAACTTGCTTTTCATAAACGGCCGATTCTAGCTGAATTCAACCGGCTCATAATCTGAATACAGTTTTGCTGACGTGACCGTTTTATTTCTCTATTTCTATCTGCAATAGCACCGTCTAGAAAGCTTATTCTGAGTCACCCTGCGGCATCGGCAACGACTATGATCCTCAATTAGCACTGCGAAGTTATTCAACGTGAGACACGAGTCATCGCACTCCACAATGTCCGCCGGTCGGTAGGCAGGCCGGTCACAAATAGCGCAGTTAGTTAAAAAGTTGCCCACCACGCGGAGGCCAAAATGAAAATAGGTGGAGAATCTAATGGCAACAATTAAAGGGTTGCTGTGAGAGATAATGAACAGAAAACGACAAACGCAGTTGTTTGGCTCGTCTTCACCCGATCTTCTTAGCTTGTCCTCCTCTAAAATTCTGCGGTTTATCAGTAGCGACGTGTCGTATAGCGATGGGCGCAATGACGAATCCTCAGATCGGTTGAACACCAGAAGGATTTAGCCACACTTGTCTTTTTTGTTGATCCTCGGCTACCATTAACAACGCTTGTTCTACTGGAAGAATAGATGCATCGTACCTCAGCACATCCGCAAGGGGAACACAAAATATTGTCGCCCTGCTAAAAGGACACGGACAATTCTTTCGAGAATCTTTGAGCTTGTGCCCCTATTGTTACAGAGCAATCCAGAAATATGTATACATATATATACCGCTTACATGTGCACCATAACATTTTATGAGGCTATGTCCGATGCTCGAAATATCGGAGAACGCTTCTTCTACTAGATCCAGTGCCTGTTGAAGGGCTCACTTCAGTTAAGATTAGTCTGTCTTCAGCTGAACTTCAAAAAAATCCCTGATAGGCCAGCAAAGGCCACTAGGTGTGTTCGTGACCGGTCAAGAAGTGCTTTCTTAGTCTTAATCGTATTTTAACGGGTGGCTGATGCAACTAGCTGGCGATAGAAAACACCGAGCGAGAAGCTATACCGGTTGCGATCGACTCTTGTTGCTGTTAACTGTTGTTGAAGCAGTTTAGTTCTTCGGCACGACTGCACTTCAGCGCTTCGTTGTCGCGTCTGCCTGCTGCATCGTCTTTAGTGCACTGGGTGGAGGCCATCATCGGCCTGCCCCACGCTGTCTGTAAAGAATGGCTGCGGCCCCGCTGGGAGAGGGTAACAGCGATACTAGCGGTGGCAGCAGCAGCAGTCGCACCGCAGTCCAGAGGATACGTCGTCGAATGGTTTTGGCATACGAAAAGCTTCAGAGGGGAAGCGTCGAGGGTAGTGTGAGTACCAGCGCGAAGGCCGAAGATCAGGGTGCACTAAGTGTTGCTTTGAACGCTGTTGTGGTGGTATAAGCAACAGTAACATGAAACAAAAAGTGCATCATTAGATGGAACATAAGTGACATCAACATGATGACAGAAGCCCCGGAAGAAAACTACGAAGCACGCCACGCCGACTAGGCTGGATGGCCTGGTGTTCGTAGCCAGGCACAGAGGAGCTAAAGGCCTGATGACGGCGACCTGCTTTTTCGAAGAAATGATTCAAACGACGTCGACGCTAATACACATACGTGCTTAAATTTTTTTTCTTTGTTATCTAAGGTTAACAGTTTGTGTTGTCTACGTGACGTACAGAAGTAAGTAGCTTGTTTGTAGTGCAGTCGTTCGTAGATTTCTTCGGGGCATATCAGCTACTACTCAATTTGAGATGTCCTGAAACAGAGGCAAGGCACAGATCATCACTGGTGGAAACGGTATCTGAAACATTTTTCTATGAACACCCGTATATCTTTCGTAGGAAGACGCCAATAAATATTTGCACTGAAAAGTGCTTACGCAGTGTTTTCGTTTATTGAGGTAAACTCGAGTCCTTTAGGTTTAGACAGAGAAATAGTAACATGACAACTACTCACATTCATTAGAGGACGGCTGAAGTATTGAGCCATCATTGCCTCATACATAATAAAAGTTTTACTAATTGTTGGCGCAAAACGTCGAAGACCATGCCAATCTTCAAATAGCTAATGTTTTTGTAGGAGAAGCTATTCAGCCCTCTATAATTGCCTTTTACTTTTTGCAAAAACAAAGATAAAGCTATATATCATATAGCCGCCAGTCGAACATTGTGATAAACGCTAATAACGAAATGATTGTAACTTTGGCCACGTATAGGCTACAAAGTTAGTAGCAGTTAATTATTGTGTGGCATAAGGGCCACTGGGTGCTTGCTCCCGTAGGTTTGAGGCGGATCTATTGGACTTCGTTGACAATGTGTTCAGTCAAGCGCATAGGACGCTAACTAACCTGTGATAGACAGTATTATCTAAAATATCCTGCGAAATTCCATTCCACATAAAGCATGGTCTGAGGCCTTGCACGACATAGTAGGTGCCTTATTGAAGTGATTTGCTCAAAGACACCGTCAATTATCTACTTCTCAATTGTTGAGAAGGTGAGGGCTGTAAAAGACGACCGAAAATAAAGTATTATACCCTGTATTAGAAGCTGAATCAGCCAAATCAGATTATCCGATAATCGCGGGATGCCTGTTTCGCACGGGCCGACGACTCTGACTTGATGTTAAGTTCCCCATTTGAAGCTTTGCATATGAAGTACCCGGAGCATTCCGACTCGCATCTTCAGGTTATTTATTTTTAGAAACGAAAAAAATATTTTAGAAAGCTGTATGAGCATTAGTGAATAATCCTTAGGACAGACGAAAAGAACACAACAACTCAGTCGATCAAACTGTCATAGACGAAGGGGGAGTGGGTGGCTAAAGATTAGAGGCGTCGAAGAGACATGAAAAGTTTAACTATTACGTTGAGGGTTGTCACCTGCTAGAAGGAGGCACTTTTGAAAATGTTCATATACTAGTTCGACTTGACAAGAGCTATTGCTGACCAGTGAGAGCCAACGTAACGGACGCTTTAGATTAAATACAGATAGTAACCCTTTAACGGTTAATTTTTGTGTCTATCTAAACAAGTATCTAAACAAGCCGGACGATAGCATCACCCTGAATATAAGACCGGGCAAATTCACCCTCTATCCCCCACTGATTTACTTGCATCCTTTGTTGCAGGCGCATTGAAGTTCTAAGGGCAACTGGAAGTAAACATTTTTTGCCAGAGCTTACGATATACCATATAAGGTGCAACCTCGTACTTACTAGTATGTTTTGTCATAGTCAGTGCTTGCAGTAGATGTTTTAATTTATAGAATTAGTTTCGTCAACGTCGTTTGATTGAGGCAAACAGGTAAAGTCAGGTCCTGCATGAGAATAGAGGTAATAATTATGATGTCGCATTTTCATTCCGAATTGCCCGTAACGCATTTTCCTAGCGCAGAAAGGGAGAATAACAGCCTTACGTTACAGTGGTCGGAGGCTTATTATAATTATATTATTTATACATGCCAATAATAATATGGTCAATGACTAATATTGAATGCGTTTAGTATGTTACAATTACGACCCTCGTCGTCGAATAAAAAAGTGACAACAGATTGATAGGTTGTAAAAAATAATTGTCAGCTTATTGGTACTTTCAAATAATACATTGATATTTAATATTGAAGATGATTATATCTAATCCTTTAGCACAGATAGTCTGACATAAAGATAGAAAGGTTCAACTTTAATAAAAATTCACGTGAGTTGACGGATAGCCATTTGTATTATAGCAGTCAAAAGACGAGCTGCTACTCCAGCCGCGAATAAGCGACTAATACCGTCTATACTTACAGCCTATCGGGACCAAAGGATGGGCTATTATATGGTGCAAAAAGGATGCGTTTGAAGTCGCAACCTTTCAACTGGTTCGCTAGTACGCCTACCACTGAGCTATGCAGCTACTCCCGCCAGCTTCGGTACCATTCTCACGAGGCACATTATGGTGCTAGCGTTTCCAATAGCAATCATCTTACCGTGTGCGTAATCTGCCGAATATAAGCTACCCCAGTAAGAATAATCCAAAATGTATCAACACCGAAAAATAAAAACAATTAATCCGACTAATAAGCGCATCGCAAGCAAAATTCACGTCCAAATCTAATTTGCCCTCTCCCGGAAGCCCAGACAAGCTTTCTTCAGATGCGGTTACAAGCTGAACGAGCTGGGGCATTGAGATAGTCGCAAAATTGAAAAAAAACTGAATGGGCTTATAGGCACCACCTCAGATGAAGACGATAAAAAGAGCGAGAACCAAGTAGGAACATAATGAGATTTTTCAAACTAAGTTCAAAGACACATTCCTGAACTTGTGTGCGCTGTGCATGCCGAAAACATCAACGGCTTCCGCGTAGGGAACTACAGAGGAATGCCGGTCCAATAAAGCTAGCTTGGCTAAGCCAGCAGTGATGCGGCAAAATGAAGCTTGGAGATAAGTCTGTTCTTGTATAATGCAACCGTGCAGAATTTTCTTAGTTGTTCGAAATGTACATCGTTAATGAGGACACTGCGACACTTAACGAGTACACACTCTAAAATATATCCTAGTTTACTCCTCAGTGTCCTTTCTGCGTTCGGTTTTCGTATCGCTATTTTGTTGCTTTAAAAAACTGTCAAAATAGCGGGTTGCTACAGGAAATTTGCGAGTACCGAGGAAAAAGAGCTACTATATTTGCCGCTTTTATTTTGGTTCTAATTTTTATTGGAGAATCAAATGTACCTACGCCCAGATTTAAAAGTAGATCACTCATTCGCTTTGTTTCCATGGTCAGTAAGTGAAAATATTTCTACTACACTAATACGGAGACAAAAAGTTATTATCCTGAAAAAGGTTACTTATAAATGAAGTTGTCCAAGAAATCTCACCAGAACGAGACACCGAACAGATAGAAAACGATTTGCCATCCATTTCTATTTGCATCTTGAAAGTCCGAGCGTCACCCGAGGAGACGAAAGCATATCGACCATTGTGCGAGATTTTGGCCCCTTGGGGGAAGTTTGGATGGCTGCAGAATGGAGGTCATGACGGACAGGCGCCATATACGCTGACAAATATGTGGGTGTAATAGATAAGCTGTTCCAATAGACCTACAGTCTAAGGACGAAAGCACAGTATGTTACAGTTGAGCGTGGCGCACATCATACGAAGCATACATTGGGTTATTTCCATTAATACTGCGTGTATTTTATCATTATCGTGACGGCTTGAGCAAGCGAGCCATATAAAAAGACTAATAATAACATAGAATTCTATAAATGTTGGGCTGGGCGTTCATCTCACTCTTGGGTTTTGCTTGATATGTACACCTGTGTACATTTACCCAGGATCCTTGTATGACTTTTTACAATGTAATGACAGGGTCCCATAGGACATGGCTGATAACGATTATCATCATGTTGTTTATTTCGATACGCGAAGAACGAGCTTTGATATGCATAAATTTTCACTTAAGAAAAAGGGTACCAGTTGGTCAAAGAATCAAATTCTGTAAAGAAATTCTCACAGAAAGCCAGCTCTCTTGATTCCCCATAAATTGTAAATTGTTCTTCCACTACATTAGACGAACTAACCTATTTATTTTAACCAACGTGTAGTAGCTACAATACTGTCTAACTGTTGTTATAAAAGTAATTAGCTGCACGCTAGTCAGCAAGGGAGATTTCAATAGTGATTTACGGAGCGTATATATGTGAAGATATATATGACAATGTTCATGACTGTCATCATAGTGCTGTTCGATGGTGTCGCTTTTTAAACGTTATCTAAAATGACTAAACACGGTTGCCGATATTTTTTGTCCCTTTTTGACCATCAAAACATAAATTTAGATATAAGAAATTGCATAGCGATATGTCGATTTAGCCAGATCTTTCGAATGGTACAAAAATTGGTACCCCTTACATAGACCCTCGGGCGAAAAAAAGAGAAATTTGGCTGAGGGGATAAAACCCACCAAAAGATGGTTCGCTCAAATTTCTATAACTCTGCCGCAGACATTTTTAAGAAATATCAAGGGCAAAACTGCCCTAAAAAATCAAAAACAGTCGAACAGAGAGACATAAATCTCGAACACTAATAAATAAAGTTAATAGATAGATATGTGGCAATAAATGATAGTAGATTGTGTAGCACTGTAACTGAGAAATTAGTAAGTACATTTCAATCATTATTATTTACGTATTCCTTTTTGGCATTAAAATATAACTTAGCATACTTATTTCTACCTACGCTGCAACCATACGTCTCCCTTCTTGCATAATATCTATCTCATCAGGCCTATAAAAACCAATGTGTAGCAGCCATCAAAAAAGACACACAGCTGTTATGATTTCTCTTGGCTTTTTTGTATTAATAATTCACCGTTATGAACACTAAATTGTCTGCAAAAGCATCACTTAGAAGAACAGTGAATAGTAATGCTTACCTTATTACATTATTACAAATTAAGCCCTTAAAAATAAGATGCCCTCGACCTCTATGAAACGATGTCGTTTCATGCACAAAATTAGTCAGAATATCATTAATAAAACCATTTGTATATACAATTAAAGCTATGGCATTAATTTTTCGGACCCATACATTGAGCAGTGCTAGGCGTTAGAACAAAGCTATTGTCGTCTACTTATAAATACCCCTAACACTCAAAGGGGCATGTGAAGCACATGATGCTGGATGGAATGTATAGCGCCATCTGTCGGTTTGTTGTTTCTGCGCATCACTGGCTGAAGCTGCTTGATCGCACATTCCTGTATCCTGCACGGGTACAACAGCGCCATTCCGAACTCGAGTAGAGAGACCTCATATATCCTGCCCTGATGGAGATAATAGTGCAGCTAGTAATATAGAAGAGTCACGGGCTGGCAACGGCTGCAAATTCCGTTGCGGCTCATTCCGCGAGTCAACCGTTGGGGCAAAATTCTTTCGTTATGAACAGCCGCCTGGGGCCTCTGCTAGGGACGAAAACAAATGAGGCTACTACAGAATAATTTTTATCAAATACGAATTTTCTCGCATAAAAACACGCTGGGTTAACCGTTTGAATGTACTAAGCGATAATCTTAACCGACAATATTATCAAGTTCAAAAAAACGAAATCAACATATGGAATATTAATTAACTGGCATATTGTGGGTTTCGGCACGTAATAAAATAAGGAAATATAGATTTTACTGCGTTAGTTTGATAATCTCTATCGACTTTTTCTAATCGAGTGGTTGAAATACAGCGTTTACCGGTCACCTTGACTTAGCTATTCACCTGCAATTTAGCCTTTTCCTCGCCATTTCGCTTGCTTTAGGTAGACACTATTAGTTGCTCACCCCGTTTGGATCAAGTTTGCCATGTAGCAACGTGCAGAAGATCCTTCCCCGGGAAGACCATCGTCATTTTTGGTAAATATGGCAATAGCTCTGAGTTCACCAGCCAAATAGGGTTCATATATTTTCTGCCTTGCATGTGCGTGCATCTAGCATGATACTCGTGCTTGCTTTCAAATAGTAGCTAGTTCAGGCTGAGTTCTTGGCTTTGTCCTCACTTGAATTATCCTTCTCGGTCCTATTTCCACCATCTGTTGCGCATGCTTCACGACAAACTCTACCACGACGAGTTTTTTTTGCTGTTGGTTTTCGCTCTTATTATATTGCAGGGCCAAGCCCTGCTCCACTCTCTCTCTCGAAATGTAGTAGCAGATTTCCTGTCTCGTCTAGGACAGTGTACCCCGCGCTTCTCTGCATACTTGTGCTGTTTATATCCGCCGCTCTTAAAGTCCCAACGGTGATGAAAAGCAGGCCTTCTGCCAACAGCGAATCGACAATAAGCAGCAGGTGAATTGCTTTGTACCAAAGTGACGGAGCGATAGACCTGAAGAGGGCAGGTAGCAATATCAAACGAAGAGAGATGGAATTCACAATATTTTCATGTACGCACACATACACGAAGTATGCTAGGAACACTGTAGGTCCAGTACAGCCTTGAAGCACGTCTAAAGGCAAAGTAGAAGATTCAGATCAGAAGAATGTAGTTAGTATAAATGACAGAATTCGTCATTACGTTTACTTTCCTACAATGAATACGAGGGACATGTGTTCTATGTCGGCTACGAATGACTTCATGCTGTGACGTAGTGTTCATCACCTTTGACTCAACCTGTACCTACTCATGTTCATGTAAGTATGTCGAGCGGTTTTCTTGCTAATTTCAGGGACACGTCGTAGTCTAGGTTTGAACTCGGGCAAAGATAGACAGGCTTCGTTTTGTGCTGGGAGCCAGCCGTTTGTCTGATGGGATGCCTTACGACGATACCGGACACAAAACTCAAAACACAGAAATATTTCGAGCGGGGCTGAAAGAATTACTTAGCGGTATTAAGACGAAGTTGTCATAAAGTAGGGTTCACTACCCAGCGCTTTTATTACAGAGGAAACCCCCTTGATCATCGACATAGATATAATGAGAAAGACGGAGTATACCGACTTACTGGTACAGTACTAGTGTTATGCGGGACAGACGTGTCCTTAATGGGCACATATATGATAGGTCAGATTAATCTCTGTGAGATTTTTAATCGCTCATGTAAGAAGTTCGCAACGCAGATCGCTTGAACGACCGAGATTTTCACAAGACTGTCGACAGCAGTTTTCTTTTTCCTTTTTTCAGAATTTACTAATAATTTCGTGACAAGTTTCCAACACGAACATGGTTGGCACGGAAATAACATTGACATTCAACCTACTAAAACTGCAGTCGTAATGAGACTCAAGTAAATAAATCGGCATTATTGCTTTGCAAATTCGGCTCGGTAATTATCTCTCTATCGCAGTTATTGTAATAATCAATTGTATATCATGGATTAATTTCATTATACGAAAATATAGAAGTGTTCTTCCATGAGAGACCGGCGTTGTTGAATATCTTTAGACTAGCTCTCAAACAGCAAAAAGGATTCGTTTCCAAAATATCAGGAAGGATCAGCTTTTGTATTTTTTCATATTTCTAAAACTATTCAAAAAAAAAAACGAAATCGATTACTGAACGGCTAAGTTGAAAATTGAGTTCCACAAAACCATTTGCATAATCTAACGTTCAGCCCTTCACAAACACGCATTTACTTCATAGACTTTCGCATGATAAGTCACAAAATATCGATCTGACATAACCAACCATTGAACCTGGTTCACAGAACATACCTTCGCGAAGACATCTCTTTGACCTATCAAGCCTGTAATTGGTTCAAGCAGCTCTTCTTTATGCCATTGCGAGGATAGGGTAATAGTTCACGAATAAGTGGGTAGTAAATTGCCAAAACGAATGTCCCTGCTTGTTGGATTGTTCGCGCACTTTCCGAATATAATTTTGCTAGAACCTACATTCATGCCCACGTACCCTATCAATGAAGACGAAGGATTTAATAGTTTTATCTTTGTGAAGAAATGGACTTTATTTAATATTGTCCGACTCACGGGTCTCATTTGTAGTTAGTTTCCTGTATGCAGCAATCATAACAGCATTTGATTCAAGTTTGCTTTGTACAAAAAAGCAAATGTTCACGCGAAAAGTAATTGCGTATAATGACCTCATATAGTGGCCACATGTTCACGCCATAGTTCGCTATTTTCTTTGTTTTTATATATTGTTTATATTTTTTTTTATTTTCGCATCGTATTAAAATTGTAGCCTATATTATCATATAACCGGCGAATGACCTCGACTTACTCGTACAGCTGTTCGAAAAAAATAGGAGTTCAATAATGATGTTTTTACGCTCTGCTTGTATCCGGATCAATGAAATACTACCAGAATGTTTTATCATTTTAATATCATTTATCTCACATTATTATTATTAAGTCACATTCGTTTCTGGCTATCGTTTATATTACTGCATAGCTGTGGAGACACCCGACTTGATTGTTCTATTTATCAAAGATTAAGGGTGAGAAATTGATTGCAGACAAAAATGTTCTTAACACACCGATCAGCTTTGTTTTGCTGTTTCAGTATATAAGCCCCAAATAGTAAATAAATCTTCCGATGCTTCCGATGTAACACCGCCGAAGTTCGCTGTCTATTTTCAAAGCTATAAAACATACTGCAAGCAGACTACCCAAATCGTAAATCATTCGTGTGGTGTCTCACATTTTGAGTATTTTCCTGTGTCGTTTGTGAGCCCTAGTACTTACCGCTTTCCAACGATCTCAAGGAGTTCTGGCACAAATCCGGGGTTGATTCAAAACAAAGTTTGCAACTGCATTCATCGCCACAATCGAGAACTAATAATAACACGTTTCGCGTTTCCAACAGTCGGAGTAATCATTAGGAAGGAGTAGTCAATTGCTGTTAAAAGGCAAACATTTCTTTTGTCATGGCTGTCTATTGGAAAGTCTCCATCATGGGTATTGAAGTTTTACGAGCAGCTCCTGTATTAGCACCGTTATAAAAAAAAAACATGAAAACATAGGTGACGCGATCAAAACATTAAAGTATTTCATGGAAGTATTGCTAATTATATTGACCGGTTGGTAAGATCATAGCATATGTTTGTATATTAAGAGCAATTACGGACCCAACGAACATTTCGCGCATGTATTAGTGCGAATATACTAATAAGCTTTACATACATAAGTTTTGTTAAATTATCTATCATTGTGTCGCATTGCATTTGCCGCTTCTCGAACCCAAACTCTGTGAGTGGCAAAGATGCTTATATCTGAAGGAAAAATGGAAGTTAATTTATCTACGACGTTGCTGGCTGATGCTAGACGGCAGGCTTTACTAGCCAAACGTTGCAGTCCAGTAATCGTTTCATAAATTTCTCTAGTATGAACAGTTAATCCCTTCTTTTAATCTCCAAATATTCGTTGTTTATAATATAGTGACACCTTGAAAAATGTATAAGGACAATATACATAATAGAGGCATGTGTAGAAGTATACGTTTATATATAAATGCAGTACTAGATATACGCAAAACGTTCTAAGGATAACCCCTAGAAAAATAATCGACCTCTTGAAACCTAAAGCATCGATTGAAAGTTGAGCTGGCTTTCGCCTTTGAAAGATATGGGAGCAGGTACACCACGGGGCGGCTCAATATTACAGTGGGCGCAGGCAAATGGGCCTTGCACATCCATTCTGTTGAGATTTGCGCAGCGAGCCCGCATCTCTTCCAAGGTGAAGGGAAATTCCGGACCAGGACCGTTTCCGTAGATGTCTGGCTCGGCCGGGTACAAATCGTCCCCTGAAGTCACATTCGATTCAAGAATATTGTAGCGTTAATAAGTGGCAGAACAGGACTTGAACATATACACTCAATCACAGAAAGTTCATCTTTTTGACTCAGTTTCGCAAGTGGGCTATTCCTTATTCATACATAGGACAAATAAGAAAAAATAGTTAAATCGATAGTATAATACTTCTTCAAACGGCCCTTCCGAATATACCTGGCAAAAGTGACACAACCCCATCACTCGCAGCGCCAATTACCGGGAGCCACCGGTCGACACCCAAAAACTCCCTTTCCCGCGCAAAACGTGCGAGATGAGCGTAAGACGGAATACTCGCAAGCCGTGACATTTCGTACACTTGAGGCGGGGCCAGGAACACTGCACCGGCGCTGTACTCCTCAAGAATCGAAAGAGGTGTAGTCCATCGGAGAGTCACTACCTCGCTCTGGTCAAGAACTACGCGAGGGGTCTGGTCCAAACATGCCACGTAGAATAGTGTGTCGTATCTGACAACGAGATGCAGCAGACAAGTTTCAATAGGATATATTTTATTAGTTAAATATGAATGGGACCTCTGGTCTGGGCGAGCGATGTTATAATTCGTATTCGTATCAGAAATGTTCTGTAAATAATTTGGGAAAATAGAGTGACGCAAAATCCCACGACGTGGACAATATTGCAACACGTTCTGTTATATTGACTCCACTTCATTTTACCTGCGATGACCGACACTGATGGGCGTTAGCCAGTCGGACCATTCTTTAAGTGCCCAGAGATTTGGACAGAGCCCATTCTCGAGGCACATGTCAATGAAAGCACGCGGTTCTGAGCGAAGTTTCTGTCTCCAACTATTCTGATCTATGTCCTTCTCAAATGCAACCATCGGTGAACTGGTAGTGTTGTTATTGGGATCAATCGAAATGCGGGAACGTGTTAGAAGGAGCACGCCGGTCTCTTCGAATGCTTCACGAATTGCACAGATCCGGAAAGCCACCGATGCTGATATGTAATTGTCCAGACTTACCTGATTAAACAATTCAAAACAGGTTCATGTAAAATTAGATGGTTAGACTTTATAGCGACATTATAGCAATTCCTTTGCAGTGGTCTCCATGGATACTGTTTAAATTCAGACTGGTAATCTCATATTTTTTTTTAAAGTTTTAATAACTTTCATTTATATTCGCATATATGCATGGAAAGATGTTACAACGAAGGCGGTGCACTTCGAGTGCAAAAGATACTAAGCACATTATAACTTAAAAAATGGTTGCTTAAAAAGAGTTAACAAACACGAAAAATCACGAACATCTTTCTCGTTGTGCGTGATTGTAACGGGTCGAGCGATCATCGGTGGACGAGGATCTTTCATCGCATCGACGAAATCTTCCCGGAGTTGAGAACAGCTTACACCGCATTTCTCGAAAACGTGTAGCCAATCGAGCGAAAAATCAGACTTCTCAGCCAGGCCACCAGGATATACGTATGCGTTTGCCATAAACGACGAAAGTTGACTGCGTTTAACCATTAACACCTAAATGACAAGGCAACACAAAGGTTAGCTCAGCAGTAGGCGCAAATTGTCCATCGGATAATAACACAAAACATACAAATATTACATACGTTTTGAAAAGCCTGCTATGATTAGTTTCTGTGGTTAAAAGCCAGTGGAATAGTCATGAAACATTAGCAGTATCTTACAATTTAGCATACCTTGTAGTCGCATCTAGAAACTCTGTTGCTGGGTGATGTGGGAGGTTCACTCGCTGTGGGGCTCGGGTTAGCCCATTTGGTGGCGATCATGTTTGTAGCTAGGTCCTTGCCGACAACTTCTGCCATCGGGGCCCTACAGGCCACAATCAGGCTAGCGGCCTCGCGCCATGCCGGCGCATCCATCGCTGAAACAAACAAAAAACAGCAAACATAAATCAATATAAACTAAACTCTGCAACGAAAACATGCGAAAAAATATGCGATATTTAGCAAAGATTAGCATACCTAAATGGATATTTACGAAAGAACGGATGTTCGCAACAATCCATTCTTAGATCCAGGGATGTGAGCAATTAGTTAATTAAATATATGCACTTCTAAATAGACGCACAAAAATATTTGTTTGAAACCAATCTGTGAAGCCAGATGCCATATAGATGCATTAGTCATGAATATCAAAGCTAGCTTGTAACCTAGCTGAATAAGAAAGATTAGATTACCTTTTTTTACGTGGGGTTCTTAATGAAGCCAGGCAATCTGAGTGTGAAGTTTGCACTCTTAAAGAACTCGCCAACAATATGTTACCCTTTTGCATATTCGAAGGACTAAAACTCACTAGTCTATATAGGTATGCAGGAAATTGTTAATAACTATAAAGTATACGCGCAATTAGGTGCCCCCATGTTTGCAAACTGAGGATTGTGCGTCTGAACGTGTCAACAATCTGCAGTCTGATCGACGCATTCATCAGCCGTTATGTAAGATGTCTTTACAGTATAATTAGGCAATGTGATATAAAGATGCTATGACAGTATGCTTTAAAATAATCTAGAATATTTTATTGTGTTTTCTAGCCAAGTAACTAACGAATGACTTTAATATTTAGAGTAATTGCAAACGGTCAGTTGTCTTTGTGCTGACTCAGTTGCTTGTCATTTGCCAGCCTGAATAACTGACCAAAGCGTCTTGAGACGATCGTATTACGTCGGATTAGATACTTCCTGGTAGCAACATAAATACTCTAGATTTACATAACATCATAGCGGCAAGGAAGTTGAGGTAATAACTGAAAAATTATTATTGCACTGCTATACTGCGACGAATTTAACAATCTAGAATAATCCAACCGGGCCGAACAACGGGTAGCTGGCAATAAATTTATAGAAATATTGTACTTATACGAAAATCAAGCTGGCTCAAATAATTTATTAAGATATGATTTTACTAATTACACGTAATAGAGTATTCAGGTTCGTCCAAATGTCCTACATTATTCAATATGCTGTGACTTGGACCCACGCAACAAGATCAAACCAAGTTACATGTTGAACTAGAAATATTTTTCTGTTTAGTCCAACTGCTTTTCGCTTACCGATATGTAAACGATCCCAATGAAAATACAAACCCTTCTTGGTAAGTGTGCTCGTCGCGGCTCTCCTAAGATGACCCATTAACCGCATCTGAAACGTACTCCGCTGACCGAGACAGCTCTCACGACAAATCTATTTTTACGTGATTTATCTACGCAAAATACTAATTTACTTTTGGAGAAGATCACTGGCGGAGTTCACAGAAAAAGTTGTACAAATTGATGCGTTGTCAGACACCGATCTCTTAGGCAATTGGAACACCTGTATGCGCGTCAGCAAATCACGAACAACACATGCGCTTACTCGGGCAATTAAGGTTTTTTTTTGTTTGAGTAAAACAGCGCTACAAAGATCGCTACATTGACAACAGGTAGATGGTAGGAGTTGTGAAATATTCTATTCTAAATTGTTTCGCTAGGTGAAAACTGTCGAATCTCGAACGACTGTCGATCCCCATCCTTATGAACGTCACGCGTCGTCTGATAAAGCATTGTTATTTTTATTGTTATTGTAGTTACTTGTTGGATCGAATGTTATAGAGTTGCGTTGATTCCTTTGGTCGCAGATTAGAAATGCGTCCTTTGTTTTGTTATTGTTTCACAAATTGAAACATGTACTTCAACTGTGATCGTCGTATGTCGGAATTAGTGTTGTTTGGTGCTCTGATTCCTGATAGGCGGAGCATTTCGAGCGTGAGGGGAGCGCGGCAAATTCAAAATTGCCGTGTCATTCTTACGATTCAAACCGTTGCTTTTTGCTTAGAAAATATAACCGGAAGAACAGACCGAAAAGCTATTTCTTTAATGTTCACAAATTTAAATTCGTTCCAAGAAAAAAATTCTTGGTTGACCAAACTTTTGATCTATAATATATATATATATATATATATATGTTATGGTTCGGAGATACATATGTAAACCGAAAGTCTTTTGGCTCTTGTCGAAAATAATTTTGGAAGCAAAAACATTTTAGCCGGTGGAGGCACGAAACTATCCGAATGTTTAGGTGTTCCTACCAGGATTTCTTCCATACAAATAGTAATAACTAGCTAAAAATAGTAAAAAAAATAACTAAAAAAAAAAAATAGCTAGAATCCAAAATTCTACGAAGGACTTTTATAGCTTTTTGTAGTTTCTCAAGAAAAAATCATGAGTCACTCTAATCTGTAAGCCTTCGACAACAGAGTTTTGATGGCCGCAGTTGTCACAGTGGGGACAAAACCACAATTACCAGCAAATTAATACTATGCTATAAAAATTTTTAATGTCGGACCGCTTAAAACGATGGATCAGGCGCCAATGTGTTAACGAACGCAATCTTTTGAGTTGTAGTAAACCAGATGAATAGATGACAGAATGCCACACGAATCCGAGTTGTGATGGTCGATCATCTAAAATAAGCACTGAACCTGTCGCAACAATTTGACACGACTGATTCGAAAGGACTGTCAAAAATATTGCCTTACCAATCGATAGCCGCAATAGGCGACTATAGGAGAACGATCCTGAAGCAGTGCGCGCTGCTACCACACGTTCACAATCACTTTGGTGGGACTTCGGTAGCGTATACACTAAAAGCTGGGTCTTAATCCGCTCACCAATTACGAATGCACTGCGGTCTTTATTATCGCTATTAAAGACATCAAAGGGGAAAGGTGCGACCGAGTTAAATACTGCCCTCGCCACTAATTTCCGAAACACTTGTATAGGCTTTAAATAGAATCAGGAAAAAAAACAAATTTACTTAAACATTTGGATATATCTAATCAGTCAATGGTACCTTTTTTGTTTGGATATATGTGCACTTCAATATGTATGTTCTCACTGGTCACGATTCTACCGAATATAACATTGAATAAATAACCGCGATCTCTTTGCATTTTTCGATTTAGCTCGTCAGGGCCGATCGTTTTGTTCTCCTATCAATTGCTGTTATTTACTTTGCGGTGATAAATAAGCAGTCTGTCTTCGATACACAAATTTTTCTCTTTACTGCTATTTTCTAAAATAACCGCCATCTTGACTGGGGCTGAATATCGGTTCTATTCATTGGAGAACACTGTTAGAATGATTTCATCTCAATGCAAGAACGCTGATATAAACAAATTTCTATTAAACTAAATATAACACTTGAACGAAACGTGGTCAGGTGGAGTAAGCAACTTTTGCTAACGGCTTCACCGTAGACCCGTTATAAAAGCAGCAGCTAGTGAAGGAAGCGGAATAACTGAATTTTCAACAGTAGCTTTGTTTATCATTGGCCGAAGTATAATTAACTCGAAGCAACGTAGAACAGTATCGTTTCGAACTAGATCGCGCCATACTCAATTAGTGCTTTCTCTCGAAGAACTCAAGTCATTAGGTACTATTTGACAGAGTACGCTTTAGAACATACCCGACAAAAACTACGCTAATTAGCGCTAATTAATTATAACGGATACACAGAGCTTAGCGAAAGCCTTGGCCGGATCGGGATTTTCGATTACAGTGCGTACTACACTATAATACCACTAGTCTTTGGCAATATACCGAAATGGGTCTAAATGACCCAAAATCGTATCAGAGATAATAGAAATTGGTTTTAGCCAATGTGATTTTTCAAAAAAAAAAACTTTTTGTATGTCTCCTTGTCGCTGTCACTGTCACTGACAACCTTTGCTAATAAAAATCTTGGCAGAAATCTATTTCTTCTGTGAATCTACAAGCAAACACCAAATCAGTAGCAAATCAGTTAATAATATGTAAGCATGAGAATACGTAGTTATTTAGCCGCAAAACAGTACGATATGTATTACCATTATATGAATGTTGCTGACAAAGATCTCGCTAGTTGAAATACGGTGACAGTGCTGGCGACGGAATTCAGTATGTAGAAAATACGGGTTTAGCTGCATTATTCATCCAGAAGTTGGAGAAACATGAACGTGCCTGACAAGAAGTATGGCGTTCAAGTCGGATAAGTTCGACTATTCGGATGATTCTAGTTGCTGTTGAAGTTGTTTACGAAACTAGGCTTCGGAGTTGTCTGACGCTAACGATACGGTGGACGTCGTATCGCCAAAGTTAGTTTTTTTTTTTGACAAACGTCGCTGTTTTCTGTACTGATTTGTTGACATTAGGAATCATTTAGTACTGGCTCCTACGTCTACATAATAGGCGGAAAGAAAATACTACTCAGATGCTGTAGAAATAAGGTGTGCGTTCAATATTTAACTGAAGGCTGACATCAATTGAACCCAAAGTTGTTTATCATTTTATTGCAGTTCCACGTTTTGCATTCCTCTAAGGTAGCTACTCATTTGCTGTCAGTCACGACGCCTGCCAGTCTCACGAATATTGAATCTGTATATAGAAGCATACAACCGCTAATAATAATAATATTACCGAATTTCGTTTGCGTACGTAAACGTATTTTCTTTGTTTACTGAGTGTTTGGCCACCTTTCTTACATGCTTACCAAGTATTCAATGAACAATGAAAGTTTGGCTTGTTTGACCGCTGAATTCGCTTTGGTAGCTAGGTAGCATCGAGGCTTTTCTTCTGGGATAAGCACCTCATAAAGGCCCCTTTGACTTAAAACCCACTCTAACGAACGGCATTAAACAGCACTAGATTTATTTGATGAAAACTGCTGGAAAACATCTCAACGGTTTGAGGGACCCTCAAGGACTTCGGTTTCATAGCGACACGAGCTGTTGGCGTCTTTGATGGAAATTTCCTTTATACATCCGATTGAGAGATAGGCAAAATTTGCTGATATTTATCGCTTACAGTGACATATTGTATGTGTTCTCACCGATTTAATAATATGAAATA